TCCCTCCTGTCAGCAAAGTTTGGATTAAATGTGAAGTTTTGAACTTTCACATAAACACTGTCAGTGTAATGTGCAAAAGTTCATTTTTAATCTAATGATCAGGTGCAACACTTCATTTTATTTAATTCTTGAGCTGCATTATTTCATTTTAATCTAATTTTTAGGTGAAATATTTGATTTTATGTGACTTCTCAGCTGAAATATTTCATTTTTATCTCATTTTTAAGTGCAAGGTTTTATTTTTATGTGACATTAAGTGCAATATTATTTTTTGAATCAAATTTTCAGGTGCAATATTTCATAATTATCTCACTTTTCAGGTGCAATATTTTATTTTAATTTCATTTTAAGGTGCAATATTTAATTTCATCTTATTTCCAGGTGCTATATTCAACCTAAACTCCACAAAATAACGTTTCTCTACAACTTCACTGCATGTCAATCACATTTTAAAGGGAAATGTATTTTCTGCCAGATTACCTTTTTGTTTGTAATGTGTCATAAACATGATTCTAATGAATGTTTTATTTTCCTGCTTCATTTTTTCTTCCTCTTTCAACCGACCAATCACGTCTTAGATGGACTTGTCACCGTGGTAACGAAGCGCCAAACATACAAAGCATCATGTTTTTCTGCTTTTGTGTCTAAATCCAACCAGGAAGTGAATGAAAACTAAAAGTAAACATTACTTGAAGACACTATGTCTGTCTGGTGGTCGATCACAGGACAGAAGGTCTTCAGATCAGACTCTGGTCTCCTCCTTCCTGCTAACTTGGACTCACTTCTTCACACCTTCAGTGCTTCTCGCCGCCTCACAGGCTCAAAATCACGTTTATCACCAAACAAAATGACCTCAGAACACATCTGAGGATGCAGCTGAGCCGCACAGGAGCATCATTTTGTCCTGATCATGATTAATTAACATATAATTAATCACATTTGCACGTCTTCTAAACCTGCCGGTGAAACATTCAGACAGCAGAGCAGCTCAGCAGCAAACACCTTCTGAGGCGTCAGAGCTCAGCAGAGGAACCACTTTGATCGGATTTATTTCAGCCGACACAATCCACTGGAGCCCGGCCAGCCTGGCCCAGATACCGACCTGTGGAAGCAGCTCAGGACGTCTTAGAGAACGCTGGGGGAACATCTTAGAGAACGCTGGGGGAACATCTTAGAGAACGCTGAGGGAACATCTGACAGCTGGGAGGGAAATGTGGAGGACGGTGTGAAGGAAAGAAAAGTAATGAACTGAGTAAAAGAGGCTGAAGGAGAAGCTGAAGCTCTGCAGAGTTCCTCCTCTGATGATGGTGATGAGTTTAAAGTTATTTGAGTGACTGTTGTGAATGTTGCCTGTTCTTTAATGTATGAATAAATCTGAGGACGACTGTAGCTGCTGATGGACCTGAACGTCTCTTTCTGTGTCTCAACACAACAAACTTCTCTTTCAGATCCAACTTTGTCAGCAGGTTCGTACAAAAACAAGAGTTCTCTGTTCACGCAGTTTAAAATCTGCACAAATCTGCTCAAACAACCGACGAAACGTAAAGAATAAAAGATAAAAACTCCACAAATGTCCACTCAGACTCAGAGCTTCTTATTCTTTGTCTCGTCTCATCAGCTTCTCCTGCGTTTAATCCGAGTGGAGAGTTTGTCGTGTGAATGTGTGGAGGACGAAATCATTTTTAAAAAGCCTGAATGAAAAGAAGAATGACGGAGGAATCCGACGCCACAAAGAGCGAGAAGACAAAAGAGAAAGTAAACCGGCAGCCAGACAAAGAGGAAGAGCTGAAAGTGGCAGAGAGGGAGTGTGATTCAGAGGTCAGACACAAACCCAGAGTCCAGAGGAATTCACACAAAACCATTTCTCACCGAGTCCTCGGGCAGCTTTATTCTCCACAACATCCATCAGCTCCGTCCCAGCAGGACGCTCAGCCTCTTTACAAACAGCTGACTCATTAATTAACTGCTCCGTCAAACGAGAGACAATCATCACGTTGTGCTGCTCACAGAGTTTGTAGCTACAGTTTTCTTTAAAGTCTACTTATTACTAATTTACTGTATTTAAAGCAGCACAAATGTTGGTATTTATCAGACGTCTGCTGTTGTTGGAAAGAAACATAACGGAAATTAATGAATTAAAAATAGTAAATCGGCTTTACTTTACAAATTATCCTCGTTTTGTTAAACCAAAGAGAATAAAAGTTCATAACTAAACTCCTTCATTATTACGGGTTATTATAACTGAGTTTATATATTAATTAATGATCATATATTAACTGTATGATAGCAGGAACCTGCCATTTAAAGCTACACTTGCTCATTAATAAAGTTCATCAGAAGTGAATATGTACAGTAGAGATAGCAGTGACGACATGCTACCACCTGTTTACTGATCGATCGATTGATTGGGATCAATAACAGTTTGTCTCCTGCTGCTCTTCTGTTTTTCATCTTTTTCTGTTCCGTTTATTGTCCACTAACTCTCAGATCTTAAAGCATTATAAGTTATTGTTGTTCAGACGCTGGCTCAGGTTAATCTGTAGCTGAATACTAACTTAGCCGCTAGCTGTTAGCATAGCATTAGCCGCCGTGAAAGCAGCTAATGTCCTGATTTCTGTCTCTGCAGTTTGTCAGCTAGAACAGATTGTTAAAGTTAACCCGACTTTAGAAAGAGGTTAAGATGCTCCAGCTAACATCAGCCACGGGCTAAGAGGCACAGCTAACCTCTTAGCAATAGCCGTAGCCTAGCACCATTAGCAGAGTGGAGTGTTATCGAGGTGTTTTGTGTAACATCAGGAATGTTTCTGGAAGTTTCTGCTGCTTCACCTCCTATAAAGTTCTGCTAATTGACCAGAGCTGATCGGCTAATGAGCTCCTCTGTCTCTCTGTGTAAACAACAGCTGTGATTGGCTGTTACTCATGACATGTAACAGCCAATCAGACAGAGCAGTGGGCGGGACCACAGACTGAGTCAAAGCAGCACATTTCTTTATTATAATCAGCCAGTAAAAATAACGATATTAATTATCTAAAAATACCAAATATGGGCGTAATAATCGGTCGGTCCCTGTTACAGCCGTTAAAGTGTCTCCCAGGTTGTGTTAAAGTGGACAAAACTCCACATGAACCCACAGGACTGACTTCTGCAGTAATACGACATGTTTTTGTGTATTTTTCCTTCGTTTTTCTGTAAATCATCCTGTGATCTGGATTAAAGCATCAACACATGGACTTGTTGTTGCAGTGAAGTTGCACAGAAACGTCATTTCTATGAGATAAAGCTGCACAAACAGGTTTCAGGTGTTTTCCTGTTTACAGAAGGTTTCTGCTCCTCCTGTCGCCTCCATTCACACGATACAAACACTCCCAGCGTCTCCAGCTGCACTGACGCAGAACATTAAATATGCATGTGAACGCTGTGGGTTCTCCGGAGAACCGTAACTCAGCCGTCACCTCCCCCACCGACGCTCAGGTGAGCCGGGGGAGGAGCTCCGCCCCTCCGGCTCCATGAATAATGGAGGCAGCAGTGCATGCTGGGAGGTTGGAGCAGGCTTACATAATGTGGAACACTGAGGTTCTCACTGAGGTTCTGCTGTTTGGTTCCTCACAAACGTCTTCACAGAGATCGACGATCTAATCAACAGTTTGTGCTGATTGCTGATAAATCACTGCTGCGTTCAGTGACAGAGGAAACGCTGCTGTTTGATGAACTCTTGGTTTAAAATATGGTGATTTTAAGTGTAATTATTTCAAATATTTACAGTTTTTTTTTTACAGATTTTCCTTGTTTCTGTAAATTACAGATGTTTACTTGTAAAATTACAGGAAAAAAAACATTATTAATTTACATGTTAAAACTAACAAAACAGGCTAAAACTGTAAATAATGTCCAAATTAAATAAATATTAATTTAAATTTTGCAGCAATTGGCTGTAAAATTACACCAAACCATTCTGTGTTTACAGGTATTTGCCATTCTTCTAAAAAAAAACAATTATGTATACTAGGAAATAAAATTACTAATTGAAGTGTTATTTTACAGATTTTCCCTGTTTCTGTAAATTATAATTACTTGCAAAATTACAGGAGAAAAAAAGTATTAATCTACATGTTAAAACTAAAAAACAGGCTAAAATTGTAAATAATGTCCAAATTAAATATATTTTAATTTGTTCTTTCACAGTAAATTTACACTCAATCAGCAGAAACCATTGTGATTTTACAGGTATTTGTTCTCCTTTGAAAAAATATATACGTATATTGGGAAAAATTGCACTAATTTTATTGTTATTTCTCAGATTTTTTCCCTGTTTTGATGAAATACAGATAATATCCAGTAAAATCACAGAAAAGTATTAATTAAAAGTATTAATTTATATACTGACTACAAAATAAAATTAAATAAAGTGAATTAACTAAATGAAAGCAGCCGTATTTACATAAACCACTGCAGCCACTTTAAAGGTAAAGTCAGTGATCAGAGAACGTCTCCTCCAAACTGCTCAGCCGATTAAAAGGAATTTAAAGTTAGACGTCCAACTAGAAAACCACCATAAGGTCCCACAATCTAACAAAGTCCAGGAGAACACTGCGTCTACAGCCTTCGTTTCATTTTCCACATCAAGTCCAGCAGATCAGCCACAAGCTGAACATCAACAACCACCAAACTCCATCTTTAGTTTCTCATTTATCCCAAAAAACCTCCAGCTGAGTCACTCGGATGTTTTAGGGTGTTTCTCTGCCTCTGAGCAGAGCATCATCATCATCATCATCATCATCATCATCATCCACATCCACATCATCATCATCATCACCACCATCATCATCAACATCACCACTATCACTATCATCATCATCATCATCATCCTCATCCTCATCCACATCCACATCCTCATCATCATCATCATCATCATCATCATCACTATCATCATCATCATCATCATCCTCATCATCATCATCATCATCACCACTATCGTCATCATCATCGGCGTCCAGCTCACCTGCTAAAGTCCAGTCGGCGTCTCACAGAACCTCAGTCAGAACGTTTGGATCAGCAGCCTGAACAGAGACACAGACAAACACAGTTCATATCAGCACAAACTGAAACTATTTCACCTGCTCATGAAGAAGAGCTGATCTGCAAACCAGTAAACATGATGCGGATCATCTGTGCTGATCAGACGACTTCAGAAGCATCAAACAACCTGATTCAGGAGAAAAGTTCACATTTCATGGCTCTGAATCGTCTTAAATCCTAAAGTTTAAAGAGAATTTAAAAAGAAAAAAGAAAACAGTTGTCTTTCCACATCACTGTCGAGCAAATTCAAACCAAACTATTAAAGTGTTGTAAAGAAAATGTTTTAAAAAATTGGAACTCAGACTTTTTTTATTCCATGAACTGTTTTGGAGGAAATCAACTGAAAAACTGATTGTGTCAAATGTTGCTGTTTGATAAACACGCGACTAATTAGAAATCCTCTAATGAAGCAGATTGATTTATTTCTACAAACACTCTACTGTCTGGATCTGAAGCTCACACAACACCTCCAGGACGACACGAAGACGTCTCCGTGTGAAAGACTTTTATTTACAGAAGCGTTGAATCATAATCGTGTTTGTGTTTCCTTCGTCCTGCATCTTGTAAACAGATGGAGCCCGAATGTCATCACGCAAACAAACAGAGCAAACAGGAAGGTGAGTGTCCACCTGCAGCTGTCCACACACTCACACACACATCCACACACTCACACCTGACCGGGAACACACACACACATCTACACACACCTACACACAGATTAGGTCTCATTAAGGTTTCTCTAAACTCTCATTATCGCAGCTTATAGCGACATGTTGCCACCTGCAGGAGTGTGTGTCGCTATTTCAGCTGCTCACACACACACACACACACACACACCTACACACACACACACACACACACACGCTCAGAGTGACAGCTGGACGGCGTGAGCTGCTGCTAATCACCGGTTCATCCTCCGGCGGAGCTGCAGCTCAGTGCAGGTGAAGGCGGCAGCAGCAGCGTCGCTCTAATGGACGGACGTCTTCCAGCCTAACAGCCTATCAGTCTAACAGTCTACCAGCCAGGTGTGTGTTCGTCCAGCAGCAGGTGAAACACTCACGTCTGACAGCTTCTCAGCTCCGGAGCTCGAGCTGTGAAGCTGTCAGAGTTTCCTCCTGAACAACCTCCAACACGTCGTCCGTCTTTACAAACATCCAGATTGTTTAAAACCAGGAGCTCCAAGAACGAGAGCTTCAAACGTAGATATTCATGAAGTTTTTAATTCATATATTAAATACTTTCTGAGGTAAAAACATTTATAAAAAACTGGCCGTTGACCTGATTTAACGCACTTTGGAATCTGAGTCCTGTTTTCTTACTTAGAGCAGAACAACCAACTGCTCAGTCAGTTATAAAAATAACCTGATTTCCATTTTTGTGACCAAATATTTGCCATTAAAAGTTCTCTTTGTGTTCAGTTGTGTGTTACTGTGACCTGCAGCTACATCTGGTTCAGGAAACATCACCAGTTGATGCTCAGAGACTCTTCATGAGTTTCCTTTTTTAATTTTAATTCTTTAACTCACTCGTGATCAGATTATTTGATCTACAGACTCTGAATCAGCGTCATGATGAGAAACAGTTCCTGAGACGTTCTGGTTCAAACGATCTTGACTGTTTCCTTCATTCGTACTTTGTTAGAAATCGTCGTCGTAGTTGAAGCTCATTAATCAGATAAACGATGATTCTGCTCCTCTCTTCAGGCTTCGTCAGACAGAACATTGTGACTGAAGATCAGATCGATGACTGACACCATTCTCTGACATTAGACTCAATAATTAATCAGGAACATAATTGGCACTCATGGATAACGAGGACAACTGACACTATCTCAGCTGGATGAATGTATAAAACAAAAAGATGTAATTAAGCTTTTTATACAGTGAGTCAACAACATTAGAGGAATTTAAGCCGTACTAAGGATCACACTGTCACTACCAGCAGCTCTATGACCGACCGACTGCTTCGTCTGTTCAAGTCGACGCTCCGACGTCGACCCGATCGGGCCGAACACCCGACGTGCTGCTCCTGGACCGGCTTTGTTTCACCCTCCGAGCGGCCGTCGCTCTTTTTCTGGGAGGTTAAAAACAAAAACACACACATTTGCGGCGCGTTGATGCTCTTGGCAGGCGAACGCGGGAGTTTTTGTGTCGGGTGGCCGCGAGCCGAATTACTCCTGCTGAGCACGAAGACGTCTGACGAAGGCTGACAAGCAGAAAATATGCTCGGATCTCGCACCGTAAATCCAGAACCGATCATGTCGAGTCCTGGGAGGCTGTTGAGTGAATTAAGGCTGATGATCGGCCTGTAACGGCTGATTTTATGATTGTTTGCTGTAATAAATGTGAGAAACGGCGTCCAGCAGAGCAACAAAAGCCAAAAACTGACCATGTTCACTCTGCTATTGATCAAAAACATGGCTGCTGCTGTTTGAGTGTGATGCTGGATAATAACGGTGGATAAAACGGGTGCATGCAGAGGACAAACACTCCAGCGGCCATGGTTAGGACCTGGAGGGAGCTGGTTGTTCCTGTCGGAGGTGAGAAGCGTCACCCCGGGGGAGGAACAGGACGGGAGAGGGAGAGCAAATGATGTTGGCCTGAGAGAAAACATGAAACCGTATATGAGACAGAAACAGGAAGTGAAGAGGTTGTTTTAAAAGGCAATAAAAGTCTGATGTGATTTCCTGTCATCCTGTTTTTATATTTCCAGAACCTCTATCTGACAACAACACGATTAAACATCCTCAACGCTTTGTTCTGAAAATGGTTTAAACTGTAATCCGTGCTGCTGTAATCCCACCGTTTGTATTCTGACAGTCATTCATATAATTCTGTTGTGTAATTAGCTCCCTGACAGCCGATACGCTCTCTGCTCGTCACGGATTTGTTTCCTCTGTGGCAGTAAAACACAAGACAGGAGCCTTACAGTCAGGTTGGACTGGGCCCACTAGAAACCCACCAGAACACCTGCTAGCGTAGCAACATTAAAGCTACTAATGCCATATAAAAAGTATTCAGTCCCCTCTGAAGTTTTCCCTTTTTTTAAGAATACATTGT